GAGTCTTTAAGGATATCTGGATTTAAGGGAATCATATAGGAAGGGAGGACTGAGTTTGTTATTTGTTTTGTCTGTGAGGTTTCTTCCCATATAAAATAGAAAATTCAAAATCTTGTGCTTAATGTAAAAAAGCATGAGGGAGTTGGTTTACAACAAAGGATAAAAAAGAATGTTGTTGCACAGTTGCCTTATTGGCTTGTAAAGCAGTTACGTGTTTCAGAAATCACATCCAGTTACCATACCTTACCGATCATAAATTGACACAAAACAGGGAATTTTGAGCTAGGGTTATGGCTGAAACAAGGTGGATTCTCACACACATTCAATGCTATCTTAGTTAAGACAAGACAAAACAAAATGAAAATAGTTTAAGCAGTGTGTAATTGTTGCATTTTTCCTTTTTTGTCCCTTTGCTTTCTTCAGATTATCTTTTCTGTTTGCAATTTGAAGCATTCTAATAAACTAAGCAAGTGGCAGAAACTTACTGAAATACAGAATTAGAGTGTTATATTTGCAGTGAACCATCAAACTTCTATTCTCACTAGGCAAGTATAAACAGCATTTTAGACACTTACTTTTCTGATCTTGTTTTGAAAGCAGGATCCCAAGGTAGCATAAAGGAACAAATCACAATAATGTGCATGGCAAAGAGCTAAATCTTGTTTAGGGCAGCTCATTTGAAAATTCCTCATTTGAAAATCTGAAATCATTGACATTTCTCTCATAATGATTAAGTACTTTATATTTGTATAAAAAATATTCATATTTCCAGTGCTGCTTTCACACTGTAGAAAATTGAAGGTCAAAAATAGAACAGTGAGAAAATATTCTGTGTTGTTTCTCATCAGATGAGCAAAATAGCAAGTGAGATTTAGCATGTAAGCTGAGGAGATATCTTGATGACAGGCAACCAAACTGCAGCCTAACAAATCCAGTGTAGCTGCACTGAAGAACAGGAAATACTGTGTATTCAGTGTCTGGGCCCAGGTTTCCTGGAGCTTGCATGATGCTGTGTTATGATTTATCAGATCCAGCCATTCTTTTTCTCTTAGTCAAGTCAGGCAGGACATATAATTCTGCCTTTAGATTTGAGGTAGCTTTCTATCTTCTTTGTATATAAATAAGAAAGTTATTGAATTTTCAATGGCAGATTCAGACAAAAACAAAGGGATTATGAACAAGCTGGGGAAGCCTATCCAACAGACCTGGATTTCATGATGCACTAATAGAGGAACTGCTCCAGGGATAAATAAATGGACTTCATTTTCTGCAGTGATAAGAAGAGTAAAGAGATCAGCCAAAGCTCAATATTTACTTTGTGTTTCAGGAGGCAGGTTTTTCTCTGAAACTTGCCCCACCTCTGTGTATGTCTGTGATTTTTCAAAAATGGAAATGGGTCAGTTGACATTGCCTCATGAGTTGGGAGAGGATTCAGTGACATTTCTGCCCACTGACACCTCAAGTACCAGATCAGTTCTCAGCCCTCCATCTCAGCAAGAGCAACAGATTGTTTCTTAACCAGCAGCTTACTCTGCACCAGCATTATGTTCCTCTATCACCTCTGAAAGGAAAATATTTTCTTACAGAGCAGCCCTGTGCCCCTTCTGACATGCTCAGTGATTCAAGCAATAATCAAGCCCAGTACTAAATCACAGCACTGATAATGTAGAGCGTTTAAGTGTAAGGTCCTGAAGCATTTTTCTCTTGCAGTCACCTTATCTCCTTCTGCAGTCATCAGTACCTTTGAAATACAGAAGTGAACTCAGTACCATTTGCATACAAATCAGTGGCAGCTCTGGATGCTTCCCAGAAGAAATTTATGATCCTTTGTAGATGGACCATCAAGGTCATTCTTGATGGGGGAAGCACCCTGATACTGAGTTCATGGCAGTACCAGTGCATGCACACAGATGAAGGGATACAATTTGAAGGCAGTAGGAGACAAAATCTTTCTTTTTTTTTTTTTCTTTTTTTTTTTCTTTTTTTTTTTCTGAGACATGAGGAATCCACTGTTTTTGTTAAGTCTGTGAGGGTTTCAAAATTGCTGTTATTTAGTCTTTGAAAATGATGGGCCTCTCATGGTACCTGCAGCTGCTAACCAACCCACTGCATGAAGGGCTTTGAAGTGCAAACATCGCAGACAGCCAAATGTCAGCTGTCTGGAACCTTCCTCCATGGAAGACTTTAGGAGCACCCCTGACTGTCAGGATGTTTTGATTTGAATGGGAAAGCTTTTCAGGGAAAAAGTGTACTTCTGTTTCAACTGTGAAAAAAAAAGCCAGCAGGTGCAGAACTTTGTACTCCCACCTCTGGTATCATGCAAGAGAGTTTAAGCATTGAATGGCATTCAATGACATACCACCTTGTAATTTTGGGTGGTAAATTTTAATCATAAAACCACAACAATCCTAAAAGAAGAAATGAAAAAAATGAAGACAATTATCTTGGAAGTAATTCAGGTAAAAGTATCATGCTCTAGAAGGTAAATGTAGAAGATAAAAGGTTCACTCTCAGGATTTTGTTTGTATTATTAAATGTGCATATGAGGGCAAGGAATGAGAAATTTCAGTTTCACTTTTAAATTTCAGTCAGAAGCAGGCTGCCTGCCAATGGGCTGCTCCTCTGCCCATATTTCTGAATAAGCAGGGGTGAGTTGAGGAGAAATCTGTCCTTTCAGATCTACAGATGGTGGAACACACTTTGTATTATAGTTGGACATCCTGAGCACTTATCCAGTCAGGTTGCTTCCTTTCAGGAATTAAAAATGCATTTTTCACGCATTAGTTCAAAAGATGCTTCCATTCATTAAAATTTAATCCTGCACTGTGGTGCTATAATATGAAATAACTTCTACAGGCCATGAGTTAACATTCGTATTCTTCTTGCTGTTCTTCTAAGAAGACAATGATTATTAATTAAAACTTTGAATAGCAGAACGATGGATGTAGTGTATAAACAGATAAATGACCTCATAGATAAGCATGCTTTGATTAGCAGATGCTGTTTTGGCAAGATGATTTCTATGAACAAGGAGAGTTGCATCTCAAAAACCCTATTCACAGTACAAAGTTTCTTCATTTAAGCCTTCCTTCTTTGCCCTTTTTCCGGATGCCTCCACCCACAGTAAAAATAGGACATCCCCTTCCCTGTCCATCTGTTTGTGAAAAATATTAAAGAGAATTCAGAAGAATGAATGAAGGCTGAATTTAATTATTTGCATATATTTCAGTACTTGTGTTTAATTTCTGAAAATGGTACCTGCCTCATTTGGCAGAAGAACTATGTTTAATTCTCTCCAAATTAAGATTTCCTTGCTATTTGCACTTCAGTGAGGGGTTGAGTGGAAAGGAGATGTGAAAAAAAAAAGAGCAGTTCATTACACAGCTTTGCAGGATTTTCCATTGAGGAGCCTTCTTCGGCTGGCAATTCCAGACAGTATTAGATACTGCCATATTTGGAAGATGGGATCCTTAACCACTGATTATTTTTATGCTTTGAACTGTTACTTTTTTGACAAGGTTGGGGTGTTCTTGGACGGACTCCTTCGAATTCTAGTTTGGCAGTAAATGGAGGCTGCTTTCACAAACCCTCTGCAAAGTGCAGTTGGAAATACTTACACCATGCCTTGTCACATCACCGATTAAAATACTGCCTATGTTTTTCTAAGGGTTTTCTGGTAGCACTGCCTGTGGTAGCAAGTAAAACTGGTGTGTTAATACAGCGCTACTTGTGATCTAAACTCTTCCTTCTCATAGCTTTTTTCTTTCACCACCTCCTCTCAGGACTTTATTAAGACCACTGATTTGTCACAATAAATCAACGTGTTTGGCAGCTCTTTCTAATTCATCAGCATACATTTTCAAGCTTCTGTTTTGATTGTACCAGCAACAACAATAAATACAAAGAAAAAACAAACCAAAACAAAAAAAACACCAAAACACACAACTGATTCAGTAAATGTAACTTCTCAGACTTTGTAAGCCAATAGAATGCTTGAAACAGTCATATGTCTGGATGCCGGACACTTGAAATTTCAGTCCTTCATATCCTAGAAAGCTGATGCTTTGAAGACTTCCTTCTTCTTTTAGTAGAAGGTATTCAGGTGTAAAAGGCATTGAGTTTCTTGCAGTAGAATCATTGTTGGCTCTCCCTAGCGCAAAAGTTGAGGTAGCATACAGGTATGAGCATTGACAGAGCGCTAACCTTCAGGCATTACTGCTCAACACCGCTGTGTGTGCAGTGTATGCAGTAGCTAGTATCAGAGGTCAGCAGCAATGTTAACAGTTCTCTCCAGCAGTAACTTCACTGTCCTTTATCTGCAGACGTAAAAAAGAGGCAGAAGAAGGAATCTTCCTGGCACAGACTTTACATGAGAACCAGATTACCTTTAAAGTACTGAACTTCAAATGTCATGCTTTTTACCCCTTTCATGCAGGCAACTTTAGGGAGAGGCTGGATCTGATTGGCTGGACAGCAAGGTTCATACTGCATACAGGAGTTGAATAGCATCCACATACTGCTTAAAAATGAGGAATTTAAGAGCATTCAGCAGAATAAAATGAAGCCTTTTCCTTCTTAAATCTGTTGTCTCATTTACCTTCAATATTTATGTGCATGTATGTGCTAGGTATTTGAATAATAGAAATAACGCTCCTCTGGTTCTTTACATCCTTCAACATAAGATTATAGAAGAGGTCTGGGCTAAATTAAGGCACTTGGACCAGGGGTAATCTAAGGCAGTTGTATTACTGACATTCTGTAGTTTGGCTTTTTGGTCATGGTAAGGCAATATAATTCATGTTGGTCATTTGTTATGAACAGATTCAACAAATTAGACATAGTCATTATTGTTCTTGGCAAAAAGATTTTTGAGCTTTTTGTCAAAGCAGGGAAAATGGAAAATAAGCAGTTCCTCTTAGAATTTGACTCTCTTGAATTAGTCTATCATGAATATCAAGATTTTGTGCTATAATTGCAGCTGTTCTGTTTGTGTCTTGCAGTGAGCCACCTCTATGGATTTGGACTGATGGATGCTGAAGCAATGGTGATAGAGGCAGAAAAGTGGACAACAGTCCCTCCACAGCATGTGTGTGTGGAGAACACGGATCGGCAAATCAAGTAATACCCGCTGCCAAAACTCTTGCTGGCATAAAGTTGTGGAAAGAAGTTGGGTATAATTTACCCCTGCCTTGCACTGTGTTTAATTTGTCATTTTGAAAGCTACACTTGGGATCTCTGTCACCTTCTAAAATGTCAGGTCATTTGCCTGTAAAGGTTCCTTCCGCTAATGACAGGATAAAGACTTTAATTTAAAGAATGTGCCAGAAGGTATGAAACAAGCCAGATTAGATGGTGATCAATGCTGTTACAGAGGTAGAAGAATATGTAAGGGGAAGAACATTCACTTGAGTATACTGCATTCATTTTTGTAAGATGAGTACAAACTTATCAGTCAAGGTCTGACAGGAAGATACTCTTTTCATTAATAAATTACTTGATAGTATCTCTCTCAAACAATCTCAGGAGAGTCTGTCTCAGAGGATAAGACCAAACTGCTCTCTGCTTTTTAGGATAGGATGTGTATAGAACCAGGCTTAAGAGCAAAATTCAGTATGTGCGTTCTGTGGCTATATCCAGTCTTGTGGCTCATTTCCAGTGCATTAAGGTCATTGAGGAGACTTTGTTTGATAGGTATGACAGCCTTGACCCATAACTGGTATAGTCTGCAAGGATGCCATGCCTGTTTTAACCAGCTGAGTCAGATACTGGTTGCCCAATATTTGCTACAGTTAATATGTAATACTTGCTATTACGTAAGCAAGGACTGTGTCTATGCCAGGCATTTCCTGGGGCTTAACAAGCAGCTGTGATCCCATGACAATCCCAACAATTCTCAGCTGGCCACTAATCTGCAAAAATGCTCTGTCCCAGAGGCTTATTCCATTACAGGTTACTCACAGCTCTCTTTCAGCATGTGGACGTATCAGTGTAGCCTTCAGCAGAAAGCAAGGTAGTTGCCAGTAGCTGCAGTAAAATAATTACCCCGTAGTGATAGTTTCAGCTAGGAAGTAAAGTGTTAAAACTAAGGACATTTGGTACTACTCTGAAATGATTGGATGGTCTTATTTTACAAGACAGGAAAGAAATGCTGATGTTGTTTTATATGCTTACATTGTAGAACAATAAGACCTGACAGTGTCGTCCGTTCAATTTACAAAGCCACGGGCTGTTCTGATAATCCTAATCACCACGTGATCTACTTGGAGCACGTTGTTGTGCGCATCACTATTACTCACCCTCGACGTGGAGACCTGGCAATTTACCTAACCTCTCCTTCTGGAACCAGATCACAGCTCTTGGCCAACAGGTATAGTATGACAGCACAATTTCACAGTCCAGTCAGCCTGCAGGACCTGCAGTAAGATTGCAGCATCAGAGAAGATTAGTCAAGTCATTACAGTAGCTGTGCTAATAGACGTGAGCTAATCATTTTTTGGGGAGAGAAATTGAGAAAATTAAGTGGGAATGAATTCTGAGATGTCAAACTCAGACTTTATCAGTAAAATAGTAGACTGTAAATCGTCTTTAAAACAGAAGTTAGTTGATTTTAATAGTGTTGTGTGGTTCACCAATTATTAGATGGCTGTAAAATTTGAAGTGAAAAGTAACAGGCTCAGTATTACAGAAAGAAACAAGCTGAAAGAAAATGTGTTTCTAGATATTATTTGCACTTATTTTTCATCTCTCTCCTATATTATTATCCTTTCTTCACTAGTAATAAAAATCAGACAGAATAGTAATTCTCTACTACTATTTTCTTTAAGCTTTATGAATATGATTATGACTTCTGGTGTTAGTATTTTTTGTCTTCAGGATTTTTAATGAATCTAGACTTGCTTGCTTTCCAGACTGCCCCACGTCTAAATAATCTCAGCCAGTTTTGCTAATACAGTGGCTATTAAGACATGGGGAATTGCATGCCTTCCTGGCCTTCAGTGATAGGCAGAATGACATATCTTTCCTCTTGCAAGGAAGGAGTTATTTTTGGAGACAGAGCTTAAAAGTATTTGGTTCTGATTGAGATGTAAACCCACATATTCATTAGAGCTTAATCTAAAAGAAAAGATGTACTGAAAATATTCTTCATGCATCAAATGGAGAGCAAGTTGTACTGGAATTTTGAGGCCCTCTAGAATATCTCCTGTGTTTCATTATGAGTGCCGTCAGTGCCTTGCTGATAAAACACATGGCTATGCACGTCTGTGTGTCTTACTGCTCACTGAATGAGGAACTCGCCCTTTGCTAACCATGACAAGGCAGACTTCTACACTCTGAGAAGTTGTGAATCAGCCTCTTGTGTTCTCTGAAAAAATTACACTTTTCTATTCCATTTTTATGCAGCCATTCTTCCATACTTCAAAATGAGAAAGCCTAAAACTCCTCCACCTAGCTACACAAACGGAACAACACTGTGTAAACCCAGTGGTTGTAACACAGCTAACTTTTGACTCCAGGCATTCATGTCTTGCAGTTGACTCACAACAAGTGGGAGATAAAGACATTCTAGTATTCACAGTTCACCTCTGGTAATGACTGATATGTGGAAGAGGTACAAAGTTTAATTCATGCAGCCTCATTGTAACCCATATACCTTAGAACGTGATTTTTTGTACACATGGTAGAGAGAGAATACAAAAGTATGTATTAAAAAAACAGTGATGTTCAGCTGTTTCTTAAAATATACTATCAGAAGGCTAACCAGAAAATAAATGTGAAAGGCATTTTAATGTTTTCCTTTTAGCAAAATTAAATTATTAATGAGAGAGCAAATACTTGTATAGTCACATCAGAAATGACTTTCCCATGTAGGCTTCATGACTTTCCGATATAGGCTATACTAATTTGTCAGTCACATCTGGTTGAAAGAAACTCACAGCTCCGGGTTATTAATATTAAGGAATAAATGTATTTTGCAAACTCTAGGTCTGAAGTTCCTAGAGACTTCACAGGCCCTTTCTTATCGTAAAGTGGTGGATATGTGCACAGTACTTTTAAGAATGATGTTTTAAAGGTTTGCTTTATTTGGAGCTGCTGCAAGAACTCTTATAGCTTACTGGTCTTGCAGATAGTGTACTGAGTGCTGCTGGGTGTACATCTATGCATCATGAAGTTTTGTTATTCACGAATATGAGAATATATTTAGTTTGGGGGCATGTAACTGTTAAAGTATTAATCGTGACGCCATCAGGATAAAGGCACTGTAATAGAAGTAACATGCAGGGATACACTGGCAGAAAGCAGTCTGGTGTGTTTTTTTTTCTATAGGCAGAGGTCCCAAAGGCTGCTGTACATGGCTACTACCTGACCGAGACGCTTTTCTCAGACATACAAGAGCTTTTAATGCACACGTACATGATTAATAGCAGCAATACCAGCTGTTTTTACTGAACCCAAGGAAAACCTCATTGCTTTACCATTACTCATCTGAGTTTAATTTGAAACAGTTTGCTGGTAAAATGTCTTAAAGTGCAAAAGGTATATTTTACACATGTGCACTTCTTCTCCACCAATTCTGGGAGAAGTCATTGAGTATTTTCTGGTGTACTGACGAGCAGGTCCCTCAAGGCAGTATCTGGCCTTTTTTTCTGCATATTTTATCCTTAATGTTGGCATCCCCTAAAATGACTTCAGTAAGAAAACTTGTTAGTCAGAGGCAATGTGGATTCCTCTGCAGGCATTTGGTGGATTACACTGTCACTGGCTTGAGCCTCTTGTGCATTCTTCAAAAACTGCATTACAGGGAACATCTGCTTTGTTGTTTGGAAAGTACTAAACATGATTACATTGGATGTACTGCAACAGAGCAAAATACAGGCTTGGAAAGTGCTGGCTGCTGTGAGGATGAGGCTACAGTTATGTCCAAAGGGGAACAATATCCCCTTTCTGAAAACAATTGGCCATTGGATTTGGCAGCATCATTTTCTGAGTGGTTTCGAGACACATTAAGATCAGTAAGAACAGAAACTCAGTACAGGGGGCCATGCAGGAAAAGCTGAATATAAAAAGGATAGAAGAAGCAAACTTGGGGCTCGTTTGTCTCCTACTGAAGTCACGGTTTGTTTAATTCTTGCCCTTTAAATTTAAAGCAGCTGCTGCCATTCGAACTGCGTAACTGAAATTTTTAGCCACATGGTGGCAAGTTTCCAGGCCACTAGCTTCCTATGCTTATATGGCACTGACATTAACAGTATACTATATCTACAGGATGAAGCAGTTCTAAGAAAACTGTTTGTTGCAACTCTTACGTGGTCTATTTTATTTCATTAACATTGCCTATGTCTTTTAGTTTAGTTTTGGTTAGACATTCACAGCCTCTCTTTGAACCCCTGCAACTGTAATGTCTATGCATCTGAAAATTATCCAAGTACTACCTTTGTTATACTCTGTCATCATTAGCATTAGATAAGGCAAAGAGTTCTGAGAATACTAGAGACCACGAGAGACCCAACGTGAATAAATAAATTTAAAAGATAAAGGTTTTTTTTCATTACTGTTGATCTGCCCACTTCTGCAGCAAAGACTGATGTATTTATATGCAAAAAAGTAAATGAATGCATATAAGTGACTATCTTCCATGTAACTTTAAAATCCATCCTGGAACATGCTCAAAGATAGATGTGGAAAAATGAAGTACAATATATCTGAGATTTAGAATGACACGTGCCTTTCTTTTGTATGTAAGACACATACAAAAGGAGGAGCAAATCATTAATCAGAGGGATCTGCACCATAGGCATGTATTGGATTATAGAATTCAATATTTCTAGTTCAGTTTTAGTAGAAAAATAGAATCTATAATTAAAATTTCAAATTTACTTTCCATAGTAGAACTGAGAGTGAAGACAAATGAGTAAGCACGTGTTTAGACACAGCTAAACGTTTTAGTGTTGTATTAAACAAAAGGAAAAAGAAAGTGTAAGACAGACAACAGGAAGAATGCCTAGGATTTACGTAAAGGCTGCTCCAAAAGTAATGCCTCCTAATTTATTGTGGTGGCCCATGATGTCAGAGACGGAAGTCAGTGGCATGGCACTAGAGGTTGAATCTTCTTATCAATATTCCATTACATTTTATTGCCATCTGACAAATGGCAGCAGAGGGGCAGTCTGAAAAGAAGTACAGTTGGTGGTATAACTGCATCAGGTAACAAAGGAAAAGCCAGTGATGTCATCAATGTGGACTTCAGTAAGGCCTTTGACACTGTCCACCATAACATCCTTTCGCTTGCAGCTCAGAAGGCCAACTGTGTTCTGAGCTGCGTTAAAAAAGGGGTGGCCAGCAGGGAGATGGAGGTGATTGTCCCCCTCTGCTCAGCTCTTGTGAGGCCGGATCTGGAGTACTGTGTCCTGGCCTGGAGTCCCCAGTACAGGAAGGACATGGAGCTCTTGGAGCAAGTCCAGAGGAGTGCCACTAAGATGATCTGAGGACTGGAGCACTTCTCCTATGAGGAAAGGTTGAGAGAACTGGGTTTGTTTATCTTGGAGAAGAGAAAGCTCAGAGGAGACATCATTGTGACCTTCAAGTATTTAAGGAAGCATATGAACAGGAGGGGGAATGGCTGTTTATGAGGATGGATAGTGATAGGACAAGGGGGAATGGTTTTAAACTGAGAATGGGAGGTTTAGGCTAGAATTAGGAGGAGGTTTTTCACACAGAGGGTGGTGAAACAGTGAGACCTCCAGGTTGCCCAAGGAGGTTGTGGATGCCCCATCCCTGGAGGCATTCAAGGCCAGGCTGGATGTGGCTCTGGGCAGCCTGGTCTGGTGGTTAGTGACCCTGCACATAGCAGGGGGGTTGAAACTAGATAATCATTGTGGTCCTTTTCAACCCAAGCCATTCCATGATTCTATGATCCTTCTCTCCAAATTGGAAAGATACGGATTTGATGGTTGGACTGCTTGATGGATGAGGAACTGGTTGCAAGACAGTACCCAAAGAGTGATGGTCAGTGGCTCAGTGTCCAGATGCATATCAGAGGCAAGCAGTGTCCCTCAGAGGTCATTACTGGGACTAGTGACTTTAACATCTTCGTCAGTGACATCGACAATGGGATTAAGTGCACCATCAGCACGTCTGCAGATGATGCCAAGAAATGTGATGTAGCCAACACACCCAAGGGGCAAACGCTGCTATCAGTACAAGCAGGGGATGTAAGGATAGAACACAGGCCTTCTGAAAAGAACTTGGGGGTACTGGTAGATGGCAAGCTGGACATGAGCCAACAGTCTTGAAGCCCAGAAAGCCAGCCGTGTCCTGGTCTTCATCTAAAGAAGTGAGGAGGTGATCCTGCCTCTTACTTCTCTACTT